TGGACTACAGACACAGCTCGATCCAGGAACATCTTGAGCAGCTCATTGTGTCCTAGCAGAGGTATTTGGTTGAAACTTCTGTCTGCCATGTTTGTCTTTTTGTTCTTAAATCTCACAATTCTTTAGCCCTATGTTTAGATGGTTTAGATGTGGTTTCACTAACTTATTGGGCTCTGTTCACTCAAAGGATTAATGACATTAGACTCTCAAACTAAACTTTGGCTGCTTTGATGCCTTAGATATGACAACAAACTCAACTACTCCTTTAATGATCACATTCGGGAGAAATTATGAAAGGACTTGGGTGCTAACTAGATCTTTGATGTGAAAAGAGAAGATAAAATAATAATGTATATATATAAAAAAAACAGAATGTAGCTTTAGTTGGACAAAGTGTAGTCTTAACCTAATCCAACGTTTAGATTAGGTTAAGACACTGTTGCCCTCCTCCAGCCACACGTACATATGACTACAATGGAGTAATGAAAATACTAACAATTATGACATTCAAAATAACTGACCTAAATACTAGTTCCTTTTGCAGTTGAGCAATCCACCCACCTACTCTGACTGACTCATAAACGTATCATAGCCAAAGATTCATCAATCAATTGATCAGATGATCAATTGATTGATGAATTCACAACGTATTTTGGACACGATACCGCATGACCAAACCCAAGGAATAGAAAGTTCACTTTGATCAAACAACCTTTTAGCTTGCATCATAATGGAGAGTTCATTTCACTATATTTTTATTTGTTAGCCAATGCAGGATTGGAAGGGGCTGTCTAAAATTCATACGGACATTCGTATTGACAGAAAATTGAGCGTTCGTGTGTCACACCTCGCAATGTGGTTTCTATGATCAGAGATTTACCGTGTTACACAAACAGTTATAGTTGGAAACAACGACATGACCAGTCAGATCTGAGGCTGTGACACCAGCATTATGTTCTCACGTTCACATTATTCTGTTTACGTCTGTAATTCGATATCAATAGATTTAATAGAAGTAGGTCATGTTTGAATTAAATGGTAATAGTTGCCCAAAAAGTGGAAAGTGCATGTACGGGTGCATTAGTACAGTTCCAATCACCACTGCAGACACCGTCTGGTCCCGATGAAAATTTAACAGTAGGGATGTCCAATATTAACTTTTTTCCCAATACCCAATATGCTGATATTGTCCAGCATTTAATTTACAATTCCAATATCAACTGATACCAATATAGACCTGCTAATATTTATTTTATTAATAAAGCTGCAATGCTGCCATCTAGTGACACTTTCATATACAGCTGTTTTTTACCCAAACTATTTTTAGGTCACATCCTTTGGCACTTTTCATAATAGGAGGTAAAACCGATGACAATTCTTACAGATATTTATATAACTATGCTAATATCGGGCCAGTAATATCAGTCAGCCGATATTATCGGACATTCCCACAAATTAAACTTCAAACCTGGATCACACTCTTAACTCCAAGCTGACTGATCAGTACCTAAAACCCATATTGTTCTGAGCATGTGTGGTTGAAAACTGCAAACAGAAAGTAGCTGCCTGTGTCCAGAACAAACCATTTAGTTGTGGTACCGATGGAGATAATAACATTTTCTGTTTTGAGCTGTGACAACACAACACATGCCAACACTCACAGGTGAACCGATTGATGACTGCGTTTGATCATGTTCCAGAAAAAGAAATGTTGGAACAAACGGTTTTTGTGCAAAAAATACAAAGGATGAAAATTTATTATGAAAAGCGTCGTTTTGATTGTTTATAAAAGTGTGACATCATTGTGTAGGAGGCAGAGCAGGAGGCGTGTCCTCTGCAGATACAAATAAAAACATTTACCTTGACATTGGTGTACCATGTGACTGACAGCAGCATGTGCTAGAGAAGCTAACTGGAATGTTTTGTTCAGTAATACTGATCTGTACCGTCTACAAAGATGGCTGCCGCAGCCACCGCGCTCTGACCACTGCTGTCTACAGGTCAGCTGACCCTATAGAAGGTCATGTGATCACAGTCATGTGGTCTGTTGGGGCGGTGGCTTTCTAACAGCTGAACAAGAAGTGTCACGCTGCGCTCTTGTTGGGCAACTCGGTGCTGTTGTGTCGGGTCTTTCGTGACGTACCATCATCCCGCGGCCGTGCCCTCTGCAGATTGGACATGGCAGCGGTGCGCTCAATGTCAATGAGGGCGTACTGCTCTGTGCGGCGGGTGGGTGTAGTGGGGGGCAATGGAGAGGTGGGAGTGCGGGGTGTGTGTGGGTTGCTGCCGTCTGAGGTACCTTTATTTGCGGCCACAGTGCTGCCATCTGTCTCTACCTCTATGTAGTTAAGCATTTTGGGCACATCAGGTTGTCCCAGCAGTGGCGGCCGGCGGAAGTCAAAGTTGAAGATTGTGGGAGCATCAGTACGACGGCGAGCCGTGTCAGGCCGGTGGGCACTGAGAGGTGCTGTCACGTTCTCGGTGTTGACATAGTTGTGCGATGGTTCAAGGGCAGCAGACAAC